CCATATCCCGCCAACGCAGAGTGACGAGCAAATATTAAATGGTGTGTCTATCTTCGGGCGGACAAACTACATTTTATCTCGCAATATAAAGCACGTCCCTTATCGCACCAAAGAATGAGGGTCGTTCGAATATCGATGCCACCGCGACGTTGGTTGTGGAGACTGGACACTTTGGGGACTTGGCTCATGTACCCGCGCGCTTATGCTCCCCAATTTAAAACGGGATTATGCCATACTCCGTCACTGGAGTGGTACGAATAAATACCGAGTATAGTATCTATTCTACTCATCTGTAATCGTAATGGCAATAATATCTGTTTCCTTATAAGGAAACATTTAGCATTCATTGACTGAGTAGCCATTGCTTCATTTGCTTGAAATTTATAAAAAATATCTTTCTCTTAAAACATTTCTTCGGGTAAGTAGGATATTAGTATTGTTATCGATCTCTACACTATTGATTAGGGTTTCCTTCCTAACTTTTTGTTTAAAGTAGAGTGGAATGTTACACAGCTTATGTCATTGTTTTCTCTTCGAATAACATATACTATCCATTTTAGTTGTTGCTGCTGCTGAAAGTCCTCAAGTGATGTGGTTTCTAATATATGGTACAGTTGTTTATTTGTGATTCTGTAGCGTCAGTCCACAAGGTTCGAACAAGTATATATATTCTCGTTAAGGCCTACAGGCTTAATTCACTCCAAGTTCGTCTAGTAAAAAGCTGGAGGGCCCCTAGAGGTAGAGGATTAATGTTAAAATAGTTACTAGGAAAGAGATGTGGGATATGAAATAAAGAGTGGGGAGTGATAGAAAGTGAAAATTATTAGGATAATGGCAGATAAAGATTGACGAAGCTTGACGCAATTTTTTTAAAAATTTTTTAAAATTATTGATCTGAAAACGCGGTTGTAATGTCGTCTGTCGTTATAAAATGAATGATGGCTTGGTTTCCACATCATTCTCATTTTTGTTGGTTTTGTCACAATGTGGCCAGTGTGTACTTTGAGCCATTTTTATTTTGCCTGAGGGTTCTTAAATAAAGAATTGAATTTGTCAGAATTTTGCCCGATTATTTTTACTCCCATATCTGGACTGGAGTTACTCAAGTCGTCACCTGGTGTACTTGTTTGGGATGGCTTATTTTCCACCCTACAACCTATTTCTTCTAAAGAGAAAGAAGTTTCAAGCCTATCATGACTCTGTCGCTTCTGCTCTGCCAAATGTCCAAACATGTTTAACACTTTTGTGCTACCAGCTCAAACATTTACCATTAAGACACACTTTGCTACATTCCCGGTATTGAATCATTCTTATTCCCTCTGTGTTCCATCGATTAGAGGAATGTTCTAATCACTATTTTGTCGAAGAGACTCCTGCATCAACGTTTCCGCAAGCACTATAATCTTAAATAACGAGATTAACCGTTATCTATCATCCGTATCCTTATAATCTCCACTTCCTGTTTCATATCACCCACCTTCATATTACTCATCTAATATCACACATGTCATATAATTCAGTAACGCTCTACATTGAGTGACTCTTGGGCTTTGTAGTAAATGAACGTCAGTTAAACAGGAAAAGATTTATTGATAAATAGTTTTCGTTTTATTGTATACTATGGATGAAATTGTTGTTCATGAAATTGTTCTTCATCAATTCGTTGTTTACGAAATTATTGTCCCCAAAATCTGTTTCTTTCTATCAATCTGTCCTGGGAGTATCAAATTTTCCAAGCTCTCTTTCCTCAGAAAGTTCGACTGTCGCTTCCTGATGTTAAGTATAAGTGTTTTTTTTTTTCTTGTCATTGTCTATAAAGCTTTGTCGTTGCTCACATGGTATTCTCAGTATCCTTCTGTAGAACCACATTTATGTAGCTTCAAGTCTCTTCACCTTTGAGGAAACTATCCAGCATACACTGCCATACAGAAGAACTGATATGAAGTGTCAGTTCAATACTCTTTTCATAATCGTTGTTCATGAAACCGCTGTTCATTAATTCGTTTTTCATGAAATCGTTGGTCATGAAATTGTTGGTCATCAATTCGTTGTTCATTAAGTTTAGTTAGTGTTATACCAGAACATTACCTATTCTATTGTAATAGACTCTCCCACACATAATAAGTAGTAGTAGTAGTAGTAGTGGTCGCCAGTTGAGCTCAGTGGAGTTGTGTGAGTCAGTCGACGTCGGACATTGAAGTATCAACCATCACAACTAGATTGCTGCGTCATTAACTCTTATTTCAAGTTCCTACCGTTTTGTACGTCGGACCCTTTTAGGTCAGACTTAGCGAAATACAAGCCTCCACTGTGAAAACTACTCTACAACAGTTAGAACGTAACAAGGATGCGGAAGCGGCTAAGAATTAATTTTCTTGCGTCAGTATTATTGCTGTTAAGACAGCTTTAGTATCCACCTTTTATTTGCCTTCAGGGCGTGATCGATTATGCTTCGTGTTACATACATGGTTTAAGAGAAATGCAATTATTAATCTTATAGCTGTATGACTAAAATCGAAAAAAAATAATTAAAATTCACAATAGAAGTATATTAAATATTCATATAAAAAATAACTAAGCAACTAGAAATATGGAAGACTTCCCTTAACCCCTTCTCTCGTGTAAACATGTATATAATTTTTTTTTGTTTTTTGTTTGTTTTTACCGAAAGCATCTTTTTAAGACACTGACGAATAAACACGTCTAAACATAACGTTCAAAAACCAGCTAAAGACGTGTTTATACGTCGATCTTGATTCTTTTTATGCACTCCTGAGTTTGAAATTAGTCCAATTGTCAGCTCATACATCTGGTAGAGGAGTTAGCCACCACTCGGGTGACAGTTAACTCTGATATTTTGAGCTGCTCAGTGATGGCCGCCATCGACTTCGTGGAATTACAGTTGATAATACGCTGGAACCGTTGAAAGAAATCACTCATTTTTGCGATATCTGGCTGCTTAATATATATTCAAGTTGTGAAACGCAGAATAGATGATCGGCGACAGCGATCATAATCTTTGAATCATCCTGCTGCAATTTGTTTTTCTATATGTTCACCTGATGTACAAGGACCAAGAGCCACTCAATGTAGATTAACACTGAATAACATTGTTGCATGTAGGTAAGAGAAGGAATTAAAGGAAGAGTATGATGATATGTAGAATAGATAAGAGTTGAAGCTAGACTTGAAGAGATTACAATTATAGTTATCGTGAAAGCATCCACACGGGAGTCCCTCCTCAAAATAGCAATCCTCGGAAAAAGACAATAACATTTTCTCAAAGGTTTTCTCATCTCCTAAAAAAATCTTTGCAAACCTTTTATTCATAGATATGAATTTTCTCAGACAAGGAAAATGAGACACGCATTTAATATATATATATATATATATATCTTCTTTTTATGTGTCATGTCCTTTCAGAAGTAGGCGATCATGGCTTTCCAATTCCCTCTACCCCTTGCAGCTCTCAATAAGTTCATTCCCCCTGCTACCTCCCCCAGACCCCGTTCTGTCATCCACTTGCTTAAATCCGCCAGGTATGTCACGCGTTGTTTTCCCTTGTCTCTCTTTCCCGCTATTCGACCTGTGAGTATCAGATTCTCCGGACCTTCCTTCCTTAATATGTGTCCCAGAAACTTCAGCTGCCTTTTACTGATATTTAGTATAAGCCTCCTCCTTGTTTGAAACCTCTCTAAGATCTCATCGTTGCTCACACGCTTGGTCCATATTCTCAGCATCCTTCTGTGGAACCACATTTGTGTCGCTTCTTCATCTTTCAGGAAATCGTCCAACATTCGCTGTCGTAAAGGACAGATGTCACGTAAATATTTTTTTTGACCCATCCCAGGAACCGAAACTTTATGGAACAGACTCCCATGAGGTTACATGTTTGAACAGTTAATCTTGATCTCTTCAAGTCGACATAAATCTCACCCTCATAATCTTCATTTTTTTTTAAATCACGTTCTCTTCCATTTATATCAGACACTTCCTTCAGCATTGTCATTTTTAACTGTAAGCCTCTACGTTGAGTAGCCCTCGAGCCATATATAGAATGAAATGAAGAAAATATCTGGAAAAACAATACAAAAATCCTTAAATGTCGACGTATGACGTTGTTTAATATGAATGAAACGTCGACGTTTCATTCATATTAAAACAACTTAACGTCGACATTTCATTCAATTTTTGTATTGTTTTTCCAGATATTTTCTTCATTATGTCGGATTTATATCCATTTATATTTGCTTATCATAGAATGAAATATAGCATATAAAAACCAGTTAACGCTTAGATAACACAGAAGACGTCGGCAACTAGTCTAGAAGATCTCCACAAAATTCAGCGGTTCTGAAGGAACTAATCAAAATTAAAATCTGCTGGATAGACAACAGAAGATCGATCTACGATCTTAACAGGAGTCATGGTAAACATAAAGAAAATATAGTCTTTGTGGATCCCTGATCGCCTACGTTATGAAGGGATATGGCATTAATAAAGAAGATAAATTAGCTTTATTTGGGATTGAACCTTGCATTCTTAGCCCTCAAATGAATAATGTAAAGGGTAACAATAATCAGTTTAGAAGGAATTTCGAATTAGAAAAGCATGAAGACATAAAAAATGTGTATGTGCGCGTGTGTGCGTGTGTGTGTGTGTGTGTGAGTGCGGAAGCAGCACCCCTCGGAAAAAGGGCGTTATTTCGGGAAGGTCAAGCGAAGATTCCCCAGATCTGTATTATTGGTGGAAGGGCCAGTGATTTCAATACTTCTGACTAAAAAAAAAAAAATATATATATATATATATATACTTGGACAAAAGATGCAAAAATCTTTCAATTTTGTCCACTTTACGTAAAAAGTTTCCTTTTTGTGTGAATGGCATGCGCACAAGCGACAAAAAACGCTTTGAAATGCTAAAGAAAGATAGATATTTTTTTTTACTCTTTCTTTTCTTCTTTTCCTCTCTTTCATCTATGCTTTCGGTCTATCTTTAGCTTATATTGGACGGCTTTCTATATGTATATGTCTCTCATTTCTATCTTCCTCCTTTTTCAATATATGTGTTTCAGCCTGATCATGTCTGTGTTCTGTCAATCTATAGATAGATAGATAGATAGATAGATAGATAAGGAACATATTAAGATAGATAGATAGATAGATAGATAGATAGATAGATAGATAGATAAGGAACAGACTAAGATAGATAGATAGATAGATAGATAGATAGATAGATAAGGAACAGACTAAGATAGATAGATAGATAGATAGATAGATAGATAGATAGATAAGGAACAGACTAATAGATGGATGGATAGATAAGGAACAGACTAAGATAGATAGATAGATAGATAGATAGATAGATAGATAGATAGATAAGGAACAGATTAAGATAGATAGATAGATATATAGATAGATAAGGAACAGATTAAGATAGATAGATAGATAGATAGATAAGGAACAGACTAAGATAGATAGATAGATAGATAGATAGATAGATAGATAGATAGATAGATAAGGAACAGATTAATATAGATAGATAGATAGATAGATAGATCGATAATGAATAGATAGATAGATAGATAGATAGATAGAAAAGGAACCGATTAAGATAGATAGATAGATAGATATATAGATAGATAGTGAATGACTATATATAGAGAGAGATATAGATAAATAGATAGAAAGAAAGAAGGAAAGAAAGGAACAAACAAACATTTACGGCAATTTAGATCTTGTCATTTCGTAATAGAGATATATAAATGGATTTACTTTCATACTTTTTGGCAGCATTGATATTCCGCGTGAGTCCGTGTGTATTTCCCTTTGTGTGGGCACCTCCCCCCCCCTTTAGTGTGTATGCGTGTGTAGGTGTGGGTGTAAATATGTTTCTGTATCTATGAAAATTTACATTTTTTGGGGGTTTTTTGATTAAAAAGTACAAAAACAAAACTTTACACTAAAATACAAGCATTTTTCTTCTCAGCCACAATAGTTAACGCAAATTCTGTATTTCGTTTGTCAGAAGGTCAAGTGAGATCGGTGCGTCAGCTTGAATGAAAAAAAAAAAAAAAACGTCAAGAGAGGATAAAAAAAGGTTGCCTTTTGTCCATCCCTTTAGGCAGGGGGACCCGAGATATTATTTATTTATTTATTATCGGTATTGTTGTTATTATTACTGTTATTATCGATTAGATTTTTTTTACTGATTTCAAAAAGGTTTGAGGTAGTGAACTTCATGGCTGGGTAAAAATGTTGAAATGACAGAGAATATGGCAAAAATACAGTTATCAATGTTTCCATCTGTTCCTAACAATATAGTCCTAGATCGTTTCCTATCTATCTATCTATCTATCTATCTATCTATCTATATTAGTATATTCATATCTATCTATTTGCCTAGCTAGCTATATAGCTGTATATCTTCCCTATTTAGTATCTGTCTTAGTATGTTCATATCTATCTATCTATCTATCTATCTATCTATCTATCTATCTATCTATCTTGGTATGTTCATTTCTATCTCTCTTAGTATATTCTTATCTCGCTAAGATATCTATCTATCTGCCTAGCTAGCTATATAGCTGTATATCTTCCCTATTTAGTATCTGTCTTAGTATGTCCATATCTATCTATCTATCTATCTATCTATCTATCTATCTATCTATCTATCTATCTATCTATCTTGGTATGTTCATTTCTATCTCTCTTAGTATATTCTTATCTCGCTAATATATCTATTCATCTGCCTAGCTAGCTATATAGCTGTATATCTTCCTATTTAGTATCTGTCTTAGTATGTCCATATCTATCTATCTATCTATCTATCTTGGTATGTGCATTTCTATCTCTCTTGGTATATTCTTATTTCGCTATGTATCTAGCTATCTATATATCAGTATGTTCATATCTATCTATTTATTTATCTGTATGCCTGTCTTAGTATGTATGTATGTATCTATCTATCTATCTATCTATCTTAGTATGTTCATATCTATCTATCTATCTGATTATGTTCATATTTATCTATTTATCTATTAATTGTGAATATGTATAGATACAGGATAATGGAAGTTTGTTAAAGCCAAATTTAACACTTGACTTTGTCAGTTTACAACCTATAGAATAATACATTTATAGATTTACAGTCGATCAGAATAGAATCGTTTTGTTGCTTTTATGTAACAACGACAAATGGCTGATTAAATTATTTCCTTCGATTCCCAACTCTGGGGAGGTTCTTTTTGTTTTTCTTTGGTGCAGCACAATAACTTTTGTGAAAATTTCCACACCTTTTGATAAATTTTTTGACGATCGCTTGAATTTGATTTTCATTACAGAATGCTTTCCCAATCAAAACGTTTTGAAGTGATACTGAAAGGTAATAAATATTACCTTTTAATATAACTACAAAAATTGGAGATTAGCTAAAATTTGGCGATTGCGATTATAAATCGCCAGGCGCGGCATAGTCTTCACCTTCCAGCCTTGATAGAATTCTAAGCGTTTCCATATCTTTGCTGGCAATTAATTATTTTCCAAGATACCACCTTTCCCGCAGATAAAACTCTAACTTCTCTATTGCACTTTCCAGAAAAAAAATATTCAGACAAGATACACTACAGGCAAAAGTTTGGAGTCACCCTGCATTTAAAAAAAAAAAAACTTAAAATGATGTATTTTTGTATTTTTTTTTTTTAAGTAAAAGATAACATTTTCGTAACTACAGTATATTTGCTTTTATTTTTCAGTTTTTCTCCAGACTTCTCTTACTATCAAAAATTTCCAATTTGGTTCATGATACTGTTGTGGTAGGATCCACCTAATTTGCATAGTGGAGTACCGACCATATAAATATGGTTGGTACTAGGAAGAGAGGAGAGGAATCTAGAGATTCAATCCAGAGACTCTGCCCGACTGCGACTCAGTGAACACATTCTCCAGGAACGGTCTTACCAGGAATATACAAAAGACTATATGTAAATATTGTATACACTTTCTTGTTTCAATACATTTTGTTCTAAGTACACTTTGTGTTGCATTATTATTCCATGCATTAGTCAAGTTTCAACAGATACATTTTGCAAAATTATGAATATTTTGTATGAGAAACATATTATTTTGTTTTCATCATTAACTCTGCAGTAGACATTTGAGATTACTAAAATTTTTAACTAAGTTAAATGTTAATACAGATTCTAAATGTTAATTCAGCACTGAGTAATTTTCTCTTAAAAAAAATGGTTGTGCTATTACGATAGTATTTTTAATTTTTTTAATTTTTAATTTTAATAAAGATTAAACTACTGGAATAAAAGCATGTATTTTACATTAAATCCAGTAAGTTGATTTTGAATTTTTAGTTGGAATTGTTTAAGCACACCTGGATTTTGCCTTATATATGAAACAAGAAAAATCTTTCTGTTTGCTACTGAGACAAATATACAAGACTAAATTGAGCATGTTAATTCAGAATTTATATTCTGAATTGTCCAAGCATATCAAGTTTTTTTTTATATATGCAGATTGCATATTTATGTTCGAGATAAATATTAATATTATATTAGTATCGACTTAAACTGCAATTCATTCAAGCTATTTGTCAGAACTTTCTTGCGTTTTGCCGAACTGAAAACTATGCAGATTTACTAAACATGTTAACAGCATAACAAAGAATGGGAGGTTGGAAGTTTCTTAAAATCCACTTCTAGCATCCTCATCTTGATCCCCACTCCTGACCAATGAAACTGTGTGCAGGGTAGCCACAAACTTTCTGCCTGTAGTGTCCTACAGTTTGAGGCCACACTACATTTCTTTAAGAAAACAACTTACAATGAGAGATTTTTGTATTTTTTTAAGTATAAAAAAAAAGGAAAATTTCCTTAACTAGATTGTATTTGCATTTATTTTTCAGTCTTTCTCCAGCATCTTCTTACAACCCAAAAATTGAAATTTGGTTTCGTCTGTCCACAATACATTTTAATAGATTATGAATATTTTGTATGAGAAACATTATATTTTGTTTTCATTAGACTCTCAGTAGACGTTTTTAGATTAACAAAATGACTGGAGATTTGATTCACATCGAGGGAATCATGAAAAAGATTAATGCCATTCGATTTTTCAAAGACATACTATGCCCTCTGGTTTACTCATAATTGGAAAAAATATTCACCTTTTAACAAGACAACGATCCAAAACACAAATCTAGATTATGTCAAAATTACCTAGAATAATAAAAAAAGAAACAACATTTTGGAATTCAGGACTTGGCCGCCTCAATCTCTTGACCTCTCTCCTACTAAATTAAAGGAATTTGATGAGAATACCAAAAGCGTGAGAGTGAACTTTTTCAGTGCTTGAAAGTGATTGGGAAGGTCTGGCATTTACATTTTTTCAAAAACCTTTGAAAAGAATGTCAAGTATTTGTAATGCAGTAATTAAGGCAGGTGATAATTGTATTGAAGAAAAATAAAATATGATGCGGTTGTATTGTAATTTTTTATAGTTAAGTGTTTATTTTTGTAAAAATAACGTCTATAGTTATTCTTTTAGTTTATAAAAAATATCTCATTCTAAGGTGTTTTCTTTTTAAAACAAATGCATGGTGGCTCGAAATTGTTTGCCTGTGGTGTTTCTTCTGTTGTTCCACCAATCTAAACATTCGCTAGAATCCACTATTACACATATACTCGTCCTCATTCTCGTATTCCATTAGTAAATAAGAAGTTCCATTCCATACAGTTTTACATGTCTAGGTTCAACGATTATCTCTCCTACGTATCCTCATGATATGCATATTAACTCATCCCTTTATGACCTTACAAGAACCTCATTCAATAAACCTCTACCTTGAGTGGTTCTTGGGACTTGTATTGGGTGAACAATAGCATAAGATTGATCAGATATACAAGTCTAGAACGCTCAGGAATGTTGAGAACTGTGGTGAGTGCGTGTGTAAGTTATAAAAGTTTAAACGGTACATCATAGTTGATGACAGGCATATGGAACTTCAGTTTATTAAATTGTCGGGGACATTTGACAACGCTCGTTCTACGATGTCAAGTTTCTACCGTGAGTACATAGTGGAAGGCATGGCCACCCACAGCGCAACCATGGTCCTTAATGATCGGGACTTGGTAGATTTATCTGTGGTAGCTGACAAACGAAACGATCACATTGACATTTAATGAAAAACACCTTTAGAACAGGCCTGATCAACGTTCTGTAGCTTCCACCAGTGTGAAAATGTTTATAAATACTCAGCGTGTCTCTTGACGTCGTTAATTGGACCTTGGAGGATTAGCATCATAAGGGGCTGTGTAATGCGCTGAAGTTCCAGTTGTTTTGGCTGAGGCTAGTGTTCAGGTCTGGTGCAGACATAGTGGCAAGGCATCGTTCAGGTTGGTAGGGGTCCTATAATTATATAGTGTGTTCACATGCCATGCATTGGATGCACTGCTCGGACTAACCATTCATTGAGCGATGACAGTAACGTTTCACTATTTGTGCCAATTTGCGCCAATTTATGGACTCGATGTACATCAGCATCTATGGTTTACAGTGCATTCTTGAAGCTTCCGGAATTATAGGATAGAGATCAAATCGGTTTGATTTGTTTTGTTTGTTTGCGTGTTTTACGGTATATCAACCTCAGTGGGTCATTTAATGCCGACAAATTTTTATGCCAATATTTTTCCCTCAAGAAATCTATAGCTGTTAATGTTTTTTTTTTGTTTTTTGTTTTTTTAAAAAAAATTAATAGCTCCTTGTATTGC